CACTGCAACCTCTGCCTCCTGGGCTCTCCTACCTCAGCCTCCCAAATAGCTGGGGTTACGGGCACCCGGCTAATTTTTGTCTTTTAATAGAGACGGGGTATCATCATATTGGCCAGGCAGGGTCTCGACCTCCTGAGCTCAGGTGATCCCCACTCCTTGGCCTCCCAAAGTACTGGGATTACAGGAGTGAGCCACCACGCCCAGCCTAAAATCAAGATGTTGAAGAGATTTTTTTCACTCCCCTGCTTATTACAGCATTATTCACAATATCCAAGGTACCTCACACCTAGATGGCCTATTGAATAATGAATGGATAAAGAAAGTGTGGTGTCTATATATACAATGGAATATTATTCAGCCTTAAAAAGGAAGGAAATCCTGTCATATACTACAACATGAATAAAACTTGAGGACATTATGCTAAGTACTTCACTTATTTCTAGGCAGTCATACACACATAGCAAAAACCATATGATTCCATTTATATGCATCTAGAGTCGTCAGACTCATAGAAACAGAAAGTAGAATGGTGGTTGCCAGTGGCTGAGGAGAGGAGGAAATGAGGAGATTGTTTTTTAGAGACAGAGTCTCACTCTGTTGCCCAGGCTGGAGTGCAGTGATGCAATCTCAGCTCACTGCAACCTCCGCCTCCCAGGTAAAAGCAATTCTCATGCCTCAGCCTCCTGGATTACAGGCATGCAGCACCATGCCTGGCTAATTTTTCTGTATTTTTAGTAGAGACAGGGTTTCACCATGTTGGCCAGGCTGATCTTGACTCCCAACCTCCCAACTCCCAAGCCAGGTGATCTGCCCATCTCGGCCTCCCAAAGTGTTAGGATTATAGGCATGAGCCACTGTGCCTGACCAGGTGTTTTTTAATGAGTATACTTTCAGTTTTGCAAGATGAAAAGTTCTGAGGCTGGACCCAGTGGTTCATGTCTGTAATCCTGGCACTTTGGAAGACCGAGGCAGGCAGATCACTTGTGGTCGGAAGTTCGAGACCAGCCTGACCAACATGGAGAAACCCCGACTCTACTGAAAATACAAAAAAAAAAAAAATTAGCCAGGTGTGGTGGCACATGCCTGTAATCCCATCTACTTAGGAGGCTGAGGCAGGAGAATCACTTGAACCCCCGGAGGCAGAGGTTGCGGTGAGCCGAGATCACGCGATGGCATTCCAGCTTGGGCAATAAGAGTGACACTAAAAAAAAAAGTGGTGGCAGGGAGACTTGCTATTTCCTCATTTTGGAGGTATCTATGATATTTACTGAGCTAGGCATTTAATCTACATTATTTTCACTTTCTTTAATTATCACCACTACTTAACGTTATAACATTATAGGCATCAGCCTTTCTTTCTCTCTTTTTCTCTTTTCTTCTCTTTCTTTAGGTCTCACTCTATCACCCAGACTGGAGTGCAGTATCACAATCATTGCTCACTGCAGCTTCAACCTCCCAGGTGCAAAACGACCCTCCCACCTCAGCCTCCCAAGTAGCTGGGACCACAGGTGCACGTGACCACACCCAGTAAATTTTTGTATTTTTTTGTAGAGACAGGGTTTCACCATGTTGCCCAGGCTGATCTCGAACTTCTGGGTTCAAACAGTCCTCCTGCCTCAGCTTCCCCAAGTGCTGGGATTAGAGGCGGGCATCACTATTTCCTTTTCACAGCAGAGGAAACCAGGACCAGGGATAGAAACTGATTTACAGGAGTCCCAAATTAGACTCAGGTTTGTCTACCTTCAAACCTGGGGGCTCTCGGCACCCCCTCCCAGCTAAGTGCTTCCAGCTGAGTGCCTCCTGACTCAAGCTCCCTCTCATTGACAGAAAGGAAATGGGCTTTCAACGAAAGCTCATTCATTTCCACGAATGAGCATCAGTTCCTTGGCAACAAGCCATATTTGTCTTCTATTTCTTGACTTACTTGCTAGAAGAATTAAGCACAACGCTGGGCACATGTAGTTCGTGGGTAACAAACACTTAAGAAGTGGTTGATTTAAAGTAAAATAGTCCGGTTGAAGTGGTTCATGCCTGTAATCCCAGCACTTTGGGAGGCCAAGGCAGGCGGATCACCTGAGGTCAGGAGCTCAAGACCAGCTTGGCCAACATGGTGAAACCCCATCTGTACTGAAAATACAAAAAATTAGCGGGGTGTGGTGGCAGGTGCCTGTAATCCCAGCTACTCAGGAGAATTGCTTGAACCTGGGAGGTGGAGGTTGGGGTGAGCCTGGGCAACAGGAGTGAAACTCTGTCTCAAAAAATAATAATCACAATAATTTAAAATAAATAAATAAAACAACTTACAACTTCTCAAAGCACCAGGATGAACTTTCAAAGAAAATATCATTTAAACACTTTCAGCTCATAAAGCATTTTCACATACATTAGCCTATGTGCTCCCGATGGAGTAACTGGATAAAATAGATCATTATCATCTCCGTTTTACAGATGAGGAAGTGCGGCGTGGAGAGGGATGTGTTTGAGGTCATGCAGCAAGGATTACAATTCCTATAGGCACGACTTAACAGGCATCTCAGGATGGAAGTCTGCGTTGCCTTTGCAGGTGGTCTGGTAAACTGGGGCTGGGCACCCTGTCTTGCTCGTGGTTCTCTGTTGATCCTGTGCTGTGTTCACCTGACGTTGAGGGGGCGAGCCTCGCTCATTGCAGCCAAATAAACTCCAGACGGTCCTGAAGGCTGCAGGCGCCTTTCTTGAGATTGCAGTTGCTGCACTGGATACTCAGCCAAACACCATGTGCCAGTGACTGTCATGTGGGGGCATTTCCAGCACCTGGAAACGGCTTGTCAGGAGGGTCAGACCAGAGTCCAGCTAAGCAGAAAGGCCTGGCAGCTGGCACCAGGCAGGGAGGCACAGACAGGGTCAGGCTGGGAGACATAGTGCCATGCCACTTATAGGAGCCGACCAGGTCTGCTGTCCAGGGGGTTAGAGATGCATTTGGCCAAAGGGGCTGGAGTGGGCAGGGCAGGAGACCAAGACTCCTTGCTCTCTGCCCTGGTTCCCACCTTGCCCAAGTGGACCCGAGGATTCTGGCCTAGAGTGAAGATAGTCAGTGGCCTGCAGACAGGGCAGCGGGGTGGCCCAACCACATCTGTTGAGCCTTTTCATTATGACATTTTTACCCTGATTACAAAAGTATCTTGTGTTCATAACAGACAAACTGAGGGCTGGCTGGGCGCGGTCTGTGGCTCACGCCTGTAATCCCAGCACTTTGGGAGGCCAAGGTGGGTGGATCACAAGGTCAGGAGTTCAAGACAAGCCTGGCCAACATGGTAAGCCAGGCACAGTGGCGCTTGCCTATAATCCCAGCTGCTTGGGAGGCTGAGGCAGGAGAATCGCTTGAACCCAGGAGGTGGAGGTTGCAGTGAGCCAAGATCGTGCCACAGCACTCCAGCCTGGGTGACCAGAGTGAGACTCTGTCTCAAAAAAAAAAAAGGCAAACTGAGGACTATCAAAAAACCCTACATATGCACGAAATGAAAATCACCCGTGGTGCTGTCTCTTTTTAACTGTATAAAGTACAAAAGTTGAAAAGCAAATGCTCCTGTCTCCTTGTCTCCTTCCTCTCTTCTCTTCCCTCCCCATCAGAGTCCACAATGGTGGCAGTTACTAAGATGGCTTCTCTCTTCTCCTCCCTTTGGAAGGAGTGGCGCAGTTTTTTCCCCAAGAGGGAAAACAAAACCTCAAGTCACTGTTTTGATTGAAAACATGAATGTCCATTTCACTCTCATTCTTTTTAAGTATGAAATATGTCGGTGACAAGGCACTCTGGAGAGTTTCCTGGCTCTGTTTACTCAGGACACCTTTTTGAGACCAGCCTGGCTAACATGGTGAAACTCCGTCTCTACTAAAAAACATATAAAAATTAGCACTCCAGCCTGGGTGACAGAGTTAGACTCTGTCTCAAAAAATAATAATAATAATAATAAAAAAATTTTAAAAAAAGATTATGAGAAGTCGGGCACGGTGGCTCATGCCTGTAATCCCAGCACTTTGGGAGGCTGAGGTGGACAGAGCACCTGAGGTTGGGAGTTCGAGACCAGCCTGGCCAACTGGGCATAGTGGCTCACGCCTATAATCCAAGCACTTTGGAGGCCAAGGCGGGTGGATCACCTGAGGTCGGGAGTTCAAGACCAGCCTGATCAACATGGTGAAACCCCATCTTTAAAAAATATAAATAAATAAATAAATAAATAAATAAATAAAAGAGACCAGCCTGGCCAACATGGCAAAACCCCATCTCTACTAAAAATATAAAAATTAGCCAGGTGTGGTGGTGCATGCCTGTAATCCCAGCTACTCGGGAGGCTAAGGCAGGAGAATCTCTTGAACCCAGGAGGTGGAGGTTGCAGTGAGCAGAGATCATGCCAGTGCATTCCAGCCTTTGCAATGGGAGTGAGACTCCATCTCAAAAGAAAAAGGGGGTTAAAGGCTGGGCGCGGTGGCTCACGCCTGTAATCTCAGCACTTTGGGAGGCCAAGGTGGGTGGATCACGAGGTCAAGAGATCGAGACCATCCTGGTCAACATGGTGAAAACCCGTCTCTAATAAAAATACAAAAAATTAGCTGGGCATGGTGGCGCGTGCCTGTAGTCCCAGCTACTCAGGAGGCTGAGGCAGGAGAATTGCCTGAACCCAGGAGGCGGAGGTTGCAGGGAGCTGAGATCACGCCATTGCACTCTAGCCTGGGTAGCAAGAGTGACACTCTGTCTCAAAAAAAAAAAATGAAGAAAATAATAAAATTTATAAATAAATAAATAAATAACATATTTATTAACTTTTAGTAGGAACAAGGTCTCACTGTGTTGCCCAGGCTGGTCTCAAATTCCTAGCCTCAAACAATCCTCCCACCACAACCTCCCAAAGTGCTGGCATGATAGGTGTGTGCCATCACACTTAGCCAAAAAAAATTTTTAATTAAAAAAAAATTGGGGAATGTGAGAGGGAGACGGACGTTGAGAGAATGAGGAGGAAGGAGAGACAATGGCGTCCAGGGATTATGGTACCTACAGCCAAGCTGCAGCGCAGCAGGGTGCTTACACTGCCCAGCCCACTCAAGGACACGCACAGACCACCCAGGCATATGGGCGGCCAAGCTATGGAACCTACGGCCAGCCTGCTGATGTCACCTATCCCCAGGCTCAGACCCCTGCAACTTACAGGCAGCCTCCCACTGGTTATACTACTCCAACTGCCCCCCAGGCATACAGCCCACCTGTCCAGGGGTATGGCACTGGTGTTTATGATACCACCATTGCCACAGTCACCACCACCCAGGCCTCCTACACAGCTCAGTCTGCATCTGGCACTCAGCCTGCTTATCCAGCCTGTGGGCTGCAGCACCTACAAGACCACAGGACGGTAACAAGCCCACTGAGACTAGTCAACCTCAATCTAGCACAGGAGGTTACAACCAGCCCAGCCTAGGATGTGGACAGAGTAACTACAGTTATCCCCAGGTACCTGGGAGCTACCCCATGCAGCCAGTCACCGCACCTCCATCCTACCCTCCTACCAGCTATTATTCCTCTACACAGCCGACTAGTTATGATCAAAGCAGTTACTCTCAGCAGAACACCTATGGGCAACCGAGCAGCTATGGACAGCAGAGTAGCTATGGTCAACAAAGCAGCTATGGGCAGCAGCCTCCCACTAGTTACCCACCCCAAACTGGATCAGGCTCCAAGTCAATATAGCCAACAGAGCAGCAGCTACCGGCAGCAGAGTTCATTCCGACAGGACCACTCCAGTAGCATGGGTGTTTATGGGCAGGAGTCCGGAGGATTTTCCGGACCAGCAGAGAACCGGAGCATGAGTGGCCCTGATCACCGGGGCAGGGGAAGATGGGGATTTGATCGTGGAGGCATGAGCAGAGGTGGGCAGGGAGGAGGGCGCGGTGGAATGAGCAGCGCTGGAGAGCGAGGTGGCTTCAGTAAGCCTGGTGGACCCATGGATGAAGGAGCAGATCTTGATCTAGGCCCACCTATAGATCCAGATGAAGATTCTGACAACAGTGCAATTTATGGACAAGGATTAAATGATAATGTGACTCTAGATGATCTGGCAGACTTCTTTAAGCAGTGTGGGGTTGTTAAGATGAACGAGAGAACTGGGCAACCTGTGATCCACATCTACCTGGACAAGGAATCAGGAAAGCCCAAAGGCAATGCCACAGTGCCCTATGGAGACCCACCTACGACCAAGGCTGCCGTGGAGTGGTTTGACAGTAAAGACTTTCAAGGAAGCAAACTTAAAGTGTCTCTCGCTCGGAAGAAGCCTCCAATGAACAGTATGCGGGGTGGTATGCCACTCTGTGACGGCAGAGGGATGCCACCAGCACTCCTTGGAGGTCCAGGAGGCCCAGGAGGTCCTGGGGGACCCATGGGTCACATGGGAGGCCGTGGAGGAGATGGAGGAGGCTTCCCTCCCAGAGGACCCCGGGGTTCCCGAGGGAACCCCTCCGGAGGAGGAAACTGGCAGTGTCCCAATCCGGGTTGTGGAAACCAGAACTTCGCCTGGAGAACAGAGTGCAACCAGTGTAAGGCCCCAAAGCCCGAAGGCTTCCTCCCGCCGCCCTTCCCACCCCCGGGTGGTGATCGTGGCAGAGGTGGCCCTGGTGGCATGCGGGGAGGAAGAGGTGGCCTCATGGATCATGGTGGTCCCGGTGGAATGTTCAGAGGTGGCCGTGGTGGAGACAGAGATGGCTTCCGTGGTGGCCGGGGCATGGACCGAGGTGGCTTTGGTGGAGGAAGACGAGGTGGCCCTGGGGGGCCCCCTGGACCTTTGATGGAACAGATGGGAGGAAGAAGAGGAGGACGTGGAGAACTTGGAAAAACGGATACAGGCGAGCACCGTCAGGAGCGCAGAGATCAGCCCTGTTAGATGCAGAGACCCAGAGAGCTGCACTGACTACCGGATTTATTTTTTAAGCCAGAAAATGTTTTAAATTTATAATTCCATATTTGTAATGTTGGCCACAACATTATGATTATTCCCTGTCTGTACTTTAGTATTTTTCACCATTTGTGAAGAAACATTAAAACAAGTTAAATGGGAAAAAAAAAAATCACCCGGAGATAATTACTGCTATCATATTGATATACAAATGTAGGGGAGAGACCCCATAAGTGCCGAGGCAGGAGCAAAAAGCCTCAGCCTATTTCCATATAAATAATGAAGAAGAAAGTAACTAGAAATTTAACCATAGTAGTTGTTAGTTCTTCATATGTGATCTTAGTGATTCCTAGGTGAGCTTAATTCCTTTACTAATGCCTCTCAGGTCGGAAGTGTGAACCTGGGGTGACATTGTGAAATGAATGACACTAAGGCCAGATGCTCTAAGCCCTCTGTCACGCCCGCAAAAGGGCTGCTGGAGGGCACGTTGGCCATGCGGCAGCGCCAGCACTGGGAAAGCGCCCGCTGTTTAACCAGCTAGGGAAGGAGGTGTCCAAAATGGCCGAGACATCTCCTTCCCCAGAGGAGTTGGGAGAAAACTCCGCTTCTCCAAGCTCTTGTGGTAAGGCCTGGCGGCTGTCAGGTAGACCCGCAGGCATCCGGGGGCTTAACTGTCCCTATGTGATGCTGTGCTCCAGTGGTCACGCTCCCTGTCCGCTCTCATACTCTGCTTCTACACCTGGTTCCTTTTGTCTCAGAAAAGATCATCAGTAATAGTAATGTAAATCTTAATGTTTTTGTTCTTTCTTGATAAGTATGGAAAAGGTGCTGATGCATTATGCTCCTTACCTTACCTCGGGTGCCAGAAATTCCTGAGCCCCTACCTGAATGACACGTGATGTACTTAACCCTATCATTGCCACGCCCTATCTACCCTGCCCCTAGTCTCTGACCACCAAGACCACGCCCTACCTACCCTGCCCCCAGATTTACAACTCAATAAAAGTGAGAGAGTCCTGGCATTCGAGGCCACTGCCAGACTCCGCCCTCTGGGTGGCAGTGGACCCCCGGGCCCAAACTCTTTTTCCTCTATCTCTGTGTCTTACGTCTTTTATTTCTACAATTTCTGGTCTCCGCACCGGCCGGGAGGGGCTCACAGAACCCTGTAGGACTGGACCCTACATACGATTCTCCAGTCTTTTTCTGCGTAAATTATGTATAGTATATAAACGTATGGACACAGATATATTCATATATACATATTAATGATGCCAAAATGACACTTATCCTTAATTATTGTATCGTGTCATTAAATATTTTTTGCACATATAATTTTATTATATACAGGAGGTCTTCAAAAAGTTCATTGGAAATGTGTATTACAAAAAAACCTGCATGAATTTCAATTTTTCTTTTGCACCAAAATAAAGTCATACTAAAGTTATAACATGGTCAAATAAGATCTCATTTAGGCAATTGGGCACAGTGGCTCACACCTGTAATCCCAACCCACTGGGAGGCCAAGGAGGGTGGGTCACTTAAGCCCAGGAGTTCGAGACCAGTTTGGGCAATATAAGGAGACCGCTTTTCTACATAAAATTTAAAAATTAGCCAAGCATGGCGGTGTTCACCTGTGGTCCCAGCTACTTGGAAGGCTAAGGTAGGAGGATCACTTGAGGCCAGGAGGTCCAGGCTGCAACGAGCCATGATCATGCTACTGCACTACAGCCTGGGTGACGGAGCAGCACCCGTCTCAAAAACAAAAACAAAGAAACTAGTTTTAGGCACTGAGAAATATAAGACCTCAGTTTGAAAAGAGCTCTTATCAGAGCAACACGAATTCTGCTAAAATCAAAGCAAGAACACCTGTCACATGGTAAAGCTTGGGCAGAAGAATAGTGAAATCACTGCTGCTTTACAAGAAGTACATGGGGAAAGTGCCCCCCAAAAATCAGCAGTTTGTTATACATGTGGATAATTCTTCCTTTTTTTTTTCTTTTTTATTTATTTTTTTATTTTTTAAAGATGGGGTTTCACCATGATGGCCAGGCTGGTCTTGAACTCCTGACCTCAGGTGATCCACTCACCTCGGCCTCCCAAAGTGCTAGGTTTACAGGCATGAGCCACCGCGCCTGGCCAACATGTGGATAATTATTTTTTTTTATCTTTTTTTTTGAGATGGAGTTTCACTCTTGTTACCCAGGCTGGAGTGCAATGGCGCAATCTCGGCTCCCGCAACCTCCGCCTCTCAGGTTCAAGCAGTTCTCCTGCCTCAGCCTCCCCAGTAGCTGGGATTATAGGCATGCACCACCACGCCTGGCTAATTTTGTATTTTTAGTAGAAATGGGGTTTCTCCATGTTGGTCAACCTGGTCTCGAATTCCTGACTGAAGGTGACCCACCTGCCTTGGCCTCCCAAAGTGTTGGGATTACAGGTGTGAACCACCACGCCCAGCCAACTCATTCTAAGAAGGGGCAAAACAAGGTTGGTGAAACCTGCGGCAGCAACCCCTCCACAGATTTGTGAAGAAAGATTTAATCTTGTACATGTCTTAATTGAAAAGAACCGATGATTTACAGCAGAAACAACAGTCAACAACACAGACATCTCAACTGGTTCACCTAACACAGTTCTGACTGAAAAATTAAAGTTGAGCAAACTTTCTACTCCCTAAGTGGTGAAGCCGAAGCCATTGTGCCCAGATCAGCTACAGACACAGCAGGGCTTTCAATGGAAATTTCAAAACAAGTGGGATCAAGATCCTGGAGCATTTCTTCAAATAACTGTAACGGGAGATGACACAGGGCTTTCAGCAGTGTGATCCCGAAGACAAAGCACAATTAAAGCAATGGCTACTGAGAGGTGAAAGTGGCCCAGTCAGAGCAAAAGCGGACCATGGGAAAGTCAAGTGCAAAGGTCAGCCGGGCACAGTGGCTCTCGCTGTAATCCCAGCACTCTGGGAGGCCAAGGTGGGTAGAGTGGTTGAGCTCAGGGGTTCAAGATCAGCCTGGGCAACATGGTAAAACCCCATCTCTACAAAAAATACAAAAATTAGCCAGGCATGGTGGCATGTTCCTGTAGTCCCAGCTACTCGGGAGGCTGAGGTGAGAAGATCATTTGAGCCTGGGAAGTCAAAGCTACAGTGAAACATGTTTGTGCCCCTGCCCTCCAGCTTGGGTGACAAAGTGAGACCCTGTCTCAAAAAATAAGAATAAAAGAGCAAAGATCATGGCAACTGTTTTCTGAGATGCTCCAGGCATTTTGCCTATTGACTTTCTGGAGGACCAAAGAACCATCATATCTGCTAATTATGAGAGTGTTTTGAAAAAGTTCACCAAAGCTTTCGCAGACAGTACCTGGGAAACCTTCACCAAGGAGTCCTTCTCCACCGTAACAATGCTCTGTTCATTCCTCTCATCAGACAAAGGCAATTTTGCAAGAGTTTCAGTGGAAAATCGTTAGCCATCTCAGTGTGCTTCCTTACGACTTCGTTTTGTTTCCTTTTTTTGTTTTGTTTTTTGAAGACAGTTTTGCTCTGTTGCCCAGGTTGGAGTGCAGTAACGCAGTCTTGACTCGCTGCAACCTCTGCCTCCTGGGTTCAAGCAATTCTCCTGCCTCAGCCTCCCAAGTAGCTGGGATTACAGACACCCTCCACCATGGCCGGCTAATTTTTTTGTATTTTTGGTAGAGACTGGGTTTCATGTTGGCCAGGCTGGTATCGAACTCCTGGCCTCAAGTGATCTGCCCGCATCAGCCTCCCAAAGTGCTCACGCCTGTAATCTCAGCACTTTGGAGGCTGAAGCAGGCAGATCACTTGAGGTCAGGACTTTGAGACCAGCCTGACCAACATGATGAAACCCCATCTCCACTAAAAATACAAAAATTAGCTGGGTGTGGTTGCGGGTTCCTATAATCCCAGCTACTTGGGAAGCTGGAGCACAAGAATTGCTTGAACCTGGGAGGTGGAGGTTGCAGTGAGCTGAGAAGGTTCCATTGCACTCCAACCTGGGCAACAGAGTGAGAGTCCATCTCAAATAAATAAATAAATAAAATAGGCTGGATGCGGTGGCTCACACCTGTAATCCCAGCATTTTGGGAGGTCAAGGTGGGTGGATCATGAGGTCAGGAGTTTGAGGCCAGCCTGACTAACATGGTGAAACCCCATCTCTAAAAAAAATAAAATAAAATAAAATAAATAAAATTTAAAATATTTAAATGGAAACCATTTTTCTTCAGTTAATAATATTTAAAAGACTGCATTAACACACTTAAATTCCCAGGACGCCCAGTTCCTTAGGGATGGACTACATGGCTGGTATCATCACTTACAGAAGTGTTTGGAACTTGATGGAGCTTATGTTAAGAAATAAGTTTATGGCCGGGCACGGTGGCTCAAGCCTGTAATCCCAGCACTTTGGGAGGCCGAGGCGGGTGGATCACGAGGTCAAGAGATCGAGACCATCCTGGTCAACATGGTGAAACCCCGTCTCTACTAAAAATACAAAAAAATTAGCTGGGCATGGTGGTGCGTGCCTGTAATCCCAGCTACTCAGGAGGCTGAGGCAGGAGAATCGCCTGAACCCAGGAGGCGGAGGTTGTGGTGAGCCGAGATCGCGCCATTGCACTCCAGCCTGGGTAACAAGAGTGAAACTCTGTCTCAAAAAAAAAAAAAAAAAAGAAAGAAGTTTATATTTTTAATTTATATCTTTTAATCTCATTTTTTCACAAACTTTACGAAGTCCCCCTATAGAAGCACAGTCATGGAAATATACCAACCACAGGTAACCACTCCCCTCACTCTGGACGTGTAAGCTGGTTCTAATCTTTCTCTACTGTGTCGCATGCTGCAGTGAACATCCTGTATAGAAATGCTGAGAGCAGGTTTTAATCATGGGATTGGGGAGCACCCACAGGAATGCCAATGTCTGGGGGCAGAGGGGCACTGAGAAGCGAGTGTCATCCACCGGGGACACATGAAGAACGAGGGG